CAGTAAAGATAAGGCAGGGTGTTTTAATAACTTTTCTCTAGGCAATGAAGATTCCAACCCCGCATTCGCGAAACGACGGCAAAAATGTGTGCCCAGCAGACCCTTAGAACTCGTTGGAAAATTCCACTCTGATTTGTTCATGCAGCATAGATACCTCATAGACAGGGTACCTTTAAAAAATAACTTCTATATGTTACACTCCACTACGGACGAGTCCGGTACTTGCATACCCGGTTATGCTTGCCATATACTCTCAGCCGAATTTCATGTCAGACAAGTAAACGTAGCACCAGCTATTAGAGATAGCCATATTAGAGGTTTGACGCGTGGAAGTACCATGAAATATCCCATAGCCCAGGTGAAAACTACGGCACGAATGACATTCCCCTTTCAAGGCCTGAGAGAATATAATTCTGAACATGTAATAAACATTCCTAAGAGAATAGTACTCGGTCTCGTTGACAACGAATCCTTTGCGGGTGTCGAACAAAAATCCTTTTAATTTCCAACCTTTTGGATTGACGGAAATAGCCGTTAAAGTAAACGGCCAGGAGGTAGGCAAAAGATGTCATACCGTCAATTTCGAACCCGACTCTACACGGATGTGTCAGACATACCTAGAGCTGTTTTAGAAGTCACAGGGGGCTGGGGAGAAATTCCACGCACACAGTGACTCTCAAAGAGTGTTTAGATGGCACTACTTTGTTTGTGTTCAATTTAACGCACGATTTGGGTGCTGACATGTCACACGTGTATCCGAAGAGCTCTGGTAAGGTCGGCATAGAATTGAAATTTTCGCAGCCAACGCCCCAAGCTCTGACGTTAGTGTGTTATAGAGAGCTGGACAGCGTAATAGAATTTGACCATTTTAGAAATGCCACTATACACTGACGTAGACGAGGGACGAGTTACATAGCCTTCTAAAATGCTGTACGGTCGAGATTTGGAATGGTTTGGACGTAATGAGCCTTTTCTTAAAAACAACTATAAGCAACAGAGATACTTTGGAAGAGGTGTGTTGTAATAAAATAGTCGGGATGAAGAGACCGAAATATCCTATACTCGCTTATTTGTAACACGGACAGAAAAAGCAAAACTGGAAGTCACTGGCTCGCTTTTGCTGTAGAGGCACCCGGTAGATTACACATGCACGACTCCGTACGGTATAGATTACACGCGAATATGGCCCCTGAATTTCACGATTTTGTGACAAAATACGGTCGTTTGCATTATTCCTACAACATAGTTCGTGTACAAAGTCTGTCGTCAGTAGCTTGCGGTCACCATTGTTTATATTTCGGCAGATGGCGATCTCGAGGTATTTCTAACGACGATATAGTTAGGCATTTCCCATTAAAAGTAACACACTTGCAAACGATTGCATGGTTTCCAGACGGTATTATAATGCCAAGAAGAGCATACTCAAGAACTTTAAGAGCTAAGTGGATTTCGACGAGGGAAAAAATTAGGTTATTGATAGAGCTGTAGGAATGTTCTCAATTTTCACACGCCCCATCTCGTCATAAAACCGGTCTTACTAGGCAAACCATACAAAGAGGTGTTTAAGCGCGGCTTTTAGCGCTTATGTTGTTAGGTACCCACGGCGATAACGCCTCGTGTTTGATGTAATAGGTATAATTATGTCCAGGACCGGGTTGACCCCTACCGTCCAATGGCGGTGACGAGGCGCCCTTAGGTCACGCCACCTATTCTTTTCGCACGTAACCGCTGATGGTGATGAGAGTATCACACTTACCACCGACACGCGGTAGCTAGTTTGAAGCCGTCTGCCCGAGAGCGAGGTTGTATATTTTTTGAGTGCTCCGTACAACAATGTCCTGCTGCTACGTTCCCTGATTCGCATAATGACCAGAGCTGATGGAGAAAGATGTAAACATTTCTTCAATAAAGAAGGGAGAAGTATCGCCATCAATGGACTCTGAAACGAAGACAATCTTGTCGGTGGAAAGGAAATATGGTAATCCAACGTTTCAGCGATGATAATGTGGTAACGGATTCAAAAATTACCGTTTCACAACAGGGAGAGTAGAGGAGAAACGGTGAAAGACAGTTGCGGGTACACGGAGACACATGGGGAACCTAGGAGGCTACTGACGGATTTAGCTTCAGAATCACTGTCACGAAAAATGATCAGCGGCTACGCCAGGATGGTTTCTTTCCAGGACTGGCAGAAACAAATGGTTCAAAGGGAATACAGCTAGCCCGGAGAGAATTCTTTTATACGGGCGTGGCAGACAAGTTCGTGTGTGCATGGTGTGGTTTAAGACTATGGAAATGGTGTGCAGAAGACGATATAGACTTTGGAACAACAGGTTCAACCCTTCGAGCGCATTTCTCAAAATCACGCGGCCCCGGGTCAGGTTTGATACTGACGTGAGAACTGTTTTGTAAACTGAGTTGATTTGTGAGTAGAAATGTAGTTGTGCATATTTACGAATAAAATTTGTGAGATGTTGTTTTTACTAGTCTCTGTTGTGTTGACGTTAAAAGTGTTGACGTTGTCTACCTCGTTGGTATATTTTGGGGTGGTTTAAACAATGAAGGATACGGTGTTCGCGCGGTCTAGTATTGTAGAGAGCTTTACATAGACTGCCCGACTCAATATCTTCTTTGTTGTATTTGGTAGAATATAACCGCCTTCCCGTGTTGTATTGTAGAGAGCTTTACATAAACTGGAGGGTGTGTTATTTTTGAGTGTCTTGTTACATTTGTTTTGCTGCGTAGTATTCTAGAGAGCTTTACATTGGCAGTACGACATTTACAGACCTCCTTCAAAATACTTATTCGTTCCCGCATTGGGTTTACGATACGAGGTAAAAGAACGTAACACCCGTACCCCTGCCGCCGTTTTCTACCTCACATTTTGTTTTCATGTAGAATATCACCGTCTTTACCTGTCTTGTATTGTAGAGAGCTTTACACAGACGGGGTGGTCGCCGCGATTAAGATTAATCTAGGTATTTCTTGCGGTCTAGTATTGTAGAGAGCTTTACATAGACAGCACAGATTCCCTAGCCTCCTTCAAAAACTCAAATATTGGCACTCTATTGGTGCATTTATGAGGTAAAACGCGTCTGAGAGCAATTGAGTAATTTAGCTTGACGGACGGATTCTTATGGTCTCCATTTTGTTTGTGTGACGTCATTAGTAGGTGTCAGCTACGCGCTACACACACACACACGTACTAGATGACCATTCCCCATTTGTGATTTGTGGTTCATCGACCACGTGACGTCAATACCGTCGTAGGTCGTGACGTCAGTGTGGCAGTATATTTTCGAGGTTGCGCGAGTTTCATTAAGTGACGTCACTTACCTTCGTTTTGTAGGTCGTGACGTCACGAGATCTATTGTCGTGACGTCATACGAGTATGACGTCAGTGTGGCAGACATTTTCGAGGTTGCGTCACGTTACGTCACCTCGAAATGTGCTGCTACCATACTACTGCTATCATAGTGATACGAATGTCGAAAGTGCATGCTACAGTATAGGAGGTACGGTTGCTACGAGAAAAGGGTACGAGATCTTAGGTTTTACGAAGGCTTTGTGAAACGGGCCCAGGTCTCCTGAACGTCTCTCCCACTGTGGTGTTATCTGCAGCCTCCACATGCACGGCGATGAAGTGCCCAATATCAAAAGGAAGAAAAATGTCTCTTAAGATGTTTTCCAGCAGCTCCATCAAGCAAATGCTTCAGCAATGTTGACGAAAAATGACCGACTGGTTGGCCCAGAAGCTGACTTCGATGATAATATCGTTATTGGATGAGCCGACATGGTAACAGAGCATGTTGGTTCAATAGAGATAAAGGACTCTCCTGAAGGCGATGAAGAATTCCTCCTGTTCAGGATCATTTTGTACTGACGTGGTACCATCATTTGGTTATGCGTCTCGAAACTTTATGTAATACTAACTAAATCCAAATCCGAACACGCTGGTTGTCATGAAACAAAATGAGAAAAAACCTCAACATATTAAAAACTCGCTTTGCCGGATCCATCGATGTCGAGAATATGGAACATACTGGCCCATGGCACCGGGCAGAATGTTTAGTTTTCATTACCGGGCATGGCTCAGAATCAATGTATTTTGGATTCACTGGGTAAATAGTCCGTTGCAGGCTCAGGCAATATTTTCGCCCATAAATTTTGTTTGTCAAGATATCAATAACATAAACATACTTTCATTCATTTAGCCTCCAAAACATTACCTGAAATTGTGTGCATTAAAAATGAATAATCATGCTGAACATGTATTTTGATGAAAAAGCGCTGATAAATATTTGAAAGACAATTATTCGTTTTTCAGTGAGATTTTGATGCGCCAAATAGCACTCTATTGTCTATTTCGGGAAAAATTCATTAATTAGTCGAATTGCTGTCAACAAATGAGTTTATTATTTTAATCGTAAGCCAGACGGTTGAATTGTTGTTATTACCGTACAGGCGTACGTAAAAATACTAAGCTGCTTTATGGCGATAAGCTCATTAATAAAAGGATTCCTAGTTATTTGCGACAACAATGACTGATTATTAACACTAAGGCGATAATGTAACAGAGGTAGGGTATGTTTTACCCTGTAACTTTCTTACTCTTAAGTTAAATGAAGATTTATAACCCATTCACTTACCTGTACATTACTTACACTGCACCATAAGAACTCGTTGAAAAATTAGTTCTCTTCGATTTCCGGACAATTTTTCATCAACAAAGCAAATGCATAAACAAGTGCGGATGATCTATCTCAAGTGCTAAAAGCGAAGGTCTCATTAACTCTCATCTGGAGATAATTTTACTCCACTACAGACATATAATATCCAGCACTTCGATATTCCTCAATTATGCTTTCAGATGTCTTTTCTTCTCAGCCGAATGTCCTGTCGTCAGAGTCCGACATTATGTGTTTAAGTAAACGTAGAATGTCAAGGAGCTGGAGTTCCTAAAAGATCCACTTGCCCAATAAGGTCAGCCACATATAATATTAAGTTTGACGCGTGGGCAGCAGTTGTCCATGGCCGGATGCTCTTCCTGCAACTGGACCTGAGAATATAATTCTGGTTTCATCTTCAAACATATGTGAAACACAAACTTTAGAGCTTGTAAAACATCTTAATACTCGGTCGTTGACAACCTGAATAATCAAATCACTTTATGATAAGTTCAACAGCAGACCGGATGAAGACGGAATAACCGTTAGGTAAAATGTCACACCTACGAGGGATGACCAGGAGTAAACAAATCATACCCTGGAGCCATTTGGGTGTAGCAGTTAGCAGTTCGGAGTAACTAGCACTCAATGTTCTAACGCTAAATGTAGCGAATGGAGGCCGACGGCACTCATTTAATACTTTCCAAGCGCATCAAGTATATTGGTATCCATGATGTTATTCATCAAATCATGACCCTTTTTCCAAATGGCCAATGTTTCTTTACAGGTTCGTTTACACGCAGCGTTTGGCAACGATTAATAACGTCATGACACAACATTAGTATAACGCTATTTTTATAACGTTGTGTCACAACGTTTATTGGTAATATTCACTCATTCTCAATGTAAGCACAATTGCAAATGCGTTTTCGAAAAATCCGAAAGTTGGAATAAGAGGTTGTAAGTTGCATGGTGCAAAGGTCACGTATTTGTATACATGTACAGCGATTATGAATTTTTAAGATCTAATTCAAACGTACACTGTAATTTCTTGCTATCATGGTGTTAGTACCCAATTTATTATTTTATTCAAATATATTATACCTGCCGTTTAAACAATTAAATGTAAACTTTTCGAATTCAGTATTCGAATAAAACTCACTGTCCTAAACATCGCCCGTAGTCCGTAGTATAACATCTACTAAGCGACTTATAGTAGGTTTGATTGTATATTACGCTATGAATATTGTATTTTACGTTATAGAAAACATTGGCGTTCGTTGAAGAAACATTTGGTCTTACACGCCACTATCTTTAGCATAGACTACAATTTCAAGCAACTTCCCACCGGTAACACTCTTGTCGGTAAATGGCAAATTGTAAATGTAACGTTTACATTGTTTTAAAGATTTCAAATTTCTGCAGGTTCATATTACATTATACCATCATTCATCACATGAACATCGTATCGTACAACCGAATTCGTCAAGGCGCTAACTCACTTATGTATGTAACAACCTATATTTGGCAAGTTAACCCCTTATATATACGTATATAGCCGATCATGTATAGACGATAATTGCACAACGTAAAAATACATAAAGTAAAATACAATGACGATGTTCGCTGGTAGCCAACCGATATCTTTTGCGCCATGACTTAAGGCAGAATTGTCTATTTGTGGTATCTTAGCACCTAACTAACCCATAGTATGATTTGACGCGTGTTATTTTCTTCATTTTGCCAGAAAAGGTCATGACGTAAAATACATCCTTAACCATACGGTTATATATAAATAGAAAGTTGTTAAACTTAAGTATATAAAGACGCCATATGATATGAAGCGTTATATTTTTCTTTTATTCAACAAATAAAAACACTAACTATGCGATAATACAGATGTTCACTGCAAGTTCGAGCTGAATTTCAGCTGAATTTTAGTCCATAACGTAGAATACATGAAAACAGCGACAGAGAACATTTCATTTTTTAAAGAAATTTAGGAAAACGCTTAACAGTTGTCTAAATTGATTTTGTGCTTCCACAACTCAGCATGTCATCTCACTAACGTAGTCGATATACCATCTCATGTTGGCGACATTCCTATTTTCACAAGTTCCTTCTTAGCTGGGTCATTGCTCACAAGTATGGATTGCAAAGTATGCCACTAACGATCATTATTATGTTCCATCTTGGACTTTAAATTAAATCAATCTTAATTGTAACGTTTTAATCAAGCATTCACCGCGTAAGATACTTTAAACATACTTTATTCATTTATAACTCCAAAACATTAAAATGAAATATGTATTTTGAGGAAAAGTAACATTTAAAAGACAAATTGTTTTTCGCGAGATTTTTGAATAGCACTCTATTGCACCATTAATTAGTCGAATTAAGTCAAAATGATTTATTATTTTTTGTCGTGTTGTAAATTGTTAAGTATTAACTGTAAAGCTGCTTTATGGCGTAAGCTCATTAATAAGGATTCCTAGTATTTTATACAATGACTGATTATTACCATGATGGCAATGTAACAGAGGTAGGGTATACCCTGTAACTTTTACTCTAAGTTAAATATAAATCTATACTTACCTGTACATTACTTCTTACACTGCACGATAAGCACTGTTTTTCTTCATAGCTCTCTTCTATTTCGGACAATTTTTCTACCAATATAGTAAACAAGTGTGGATGATCTATCTCAAGTGCTGGAAGGAAGGTCTCATTGAATTCATCTGGAGATAATTTGTGACATATAATATCCACAAATTCGATATTCCTCGCACGACTAGATGTCTTTTCTCGAATGCTCCTGTCGTCAGAGTCCGACATTATGTGTTTTCCAAGTAGAATGTCAAGGAGCTGAGTTCCTAAAAGATCCAATTTGCCCACAAGGTCATATAAACATTGCTTCAGCAGTTGTCCATGGATATCGCCTCGGATTCCTGCAACTGAGAATTGGTATATTATACCTGTCGTTTAAACAATTAAATGTGTAAACTTTTCGAATTGTATTCGAATAAAATTCACTGTCCTAAACATCGCCCGTAGTCCGTAGTATAATATCTAATAAGGACGATAGTAGGTTTGATTGTATATTACGCTATGAATATTGTATTTTACGTTATAGAAAACATTTATGTTCGTTGAAGAAACATTTGGTCTTACACGCCACTATCTTTTAGCATAGACTACACCTAAGTAACTTCCCACCGGTAACACTCTTTGTCGGTAACGGCAAATTGCAAATGTAACGTTTACACAGCTTTAAAGATTTCCTCAAATTTCCAGGTTCATATTACATTATACCATCATTCATCACATGAACATCGTATCGTACAATCGAATTGTCAAGTGCGCTAACTCACTTATGTATGTAACAACCTATATTTGGCAAGTTAACCCCCTTATATAATGTATATAGCTGATCATGTATAGACGATAATTGCATAACGTAAAATACATAAAGTAAAATACAATGACGATGTTCGCTGGTAGCCAACCGATATCTTTGTCATGACTTGGCAGAATTGTCCATTTGGTGGCATCCTTAGCACCTAACCAACCCATAGTATGATTTGACGCGTGTTATTTTCTTCATTTTGCCAGAAAAGGTCATGACGTAAAATACATCCTTAACCATACGGTTATATATAAATAGAAAGTTGTTAAACTTAAGTATATAAAGACGCCATATGATATGAAGCGTTATATTTTTCTTTTATTCAACAAATAAAAACACTAACTATGCGATAATACAGATGTTCACTGCAAGTTCGAGCTGAATTTCAGCTGAATTTTAGTCCATAACGTAGAATACATGAAAACAGCGACAGAGAACATTTCATTTTTTAAAGAAATTTAGGAAAACGCTTAACAGTTGTCTAAATTGATTTTGTGCTTCCACAACTCAGCATGTCATCTCACTAACGTAGTCGATATACCATCTCATGTTGGCGACATTCCTATTTTCACAAGTTCCTTCTTAGCTGGGTCATTGCTCACAAGTATGGATTGCAAAGTATGCCACTAACGATCATTATTATGTTCCATCTTGGACTTTAAATTAAATCAATCTTAATTGTAACGTTTTAATCAAGCATTCACCGGGAAATGTATTGTATATGGCGACGACGTGAGTTTTTAGGAATTGAGCACTTATACTGAAAATGACTGATTACGTCATTTTATAACGTTATGTCACAACGTAATAACAACGTTGCACATTTACGTTGGGAAAACGTTATGCTTTGGGTTCCTCACAATGTTAAAACAACGTTTCTTATAACTTGGTGTCACGATAGAGTTTTCTGTAAAACGTTTCACTTTCAGATTCTTTCTTCACTATTCAGCTACAGGTTCAGAAAACACACGACCAAAACAACGTGCAAATTGACGGATAAACACTGAAGTGAACTTCTGCTTTGTTTCTTACGTACTGTTCACTACTGGGGAAAGTGTTCGACCATTAACGTTAATAGAACGTAAAGACAACGTAAAATACGTTGGTATCAAATAACTTAAACCTTGCGGCGACGTAAAAATGACGTATCACAACGTCAGGCCACAACGTTCTGACAACGTCAATGGAAGTCCACAGAATAACGTTGTAACAACGAAAGCATAACGCTGTGGCAACGCGATAAATTGTCAGCTGCGTAGCCCTAAATTAATGACCATGCTCTAATGGCTGCAATCGCCTCAATAAATAACCATGTAGCCTATTTCTCTCAGCAGAAATGTTTAAGGTTCGTCATCTGTTATCGGAATTTACGTAGGAACATCTAATATCTAACAAGGGCTCTGTTCCACAAGCTGACAAACTGTTGGCTCTTATTTCTGGGAATCCCAAGGAAACTGGAATGCGTCAAGCAGGATAGGGGTTATTGAAAGAAAACAGCGTATTACCTAACCCAAGCACATTAACTAACGTAGGTTGGACGCTTGAAGGACAATCCCTCTCACCCCGGGACAATCGCTCTCATCCCGGGGCAATCGCTCTCACCGCCACTCACCCCCACCCACCCCCCTCCGCCCGGGGCAATCGGTCTCACCCCGGGACAATCGGTCTCAACCCGGGACAATGGGTCTCAACCCGGGTCAGCAAGGTATTCTCTCTCACCCTGACAGTATGTCACGTAGAGTGGACACTCTCACGCTGTACGGTGCAAAAGGATCTTAGTGCTAAGGTGATCGTCACTTTCTGTGACAATCGTTAACGATCCTAATTGTTTTGTACAACCCCAGCCTGTGACGCGTTCCAGTAGAATATACAGCACTGGAAAAAAATCCATCTTTCCAAGCTTGGAAATGTCTTGGAAAGATGATGTTTCCAAGACATTTCCAATTTTGGAAAGATGATGTTTCCAAGACTTTCCAATTT